GATGATGATGATAATAATAATAATAATAAAGCAGCTGCAATAAGTGATATATAATGCATGATTCAAACAGAATTTTGCCTGTTAAATTTCCTGCTACTCCCAGCAGTGCTGCTTGCAGGGGCTGGTTAGGGCAAACAGAACTTAGCCTATGAACAGAGGCTATTTCTCTGTGCTGCCATCCCGCTGTCCCCCCCAAAATGTGACAATCTAGTTGGAAGTCCATGCCCTGTCTCTTGAAACAGCCTGCAAAATCTGCCAATTCCCATCAAAACAAGAGCAGGGACTGTGTCTAATCACACAGTGAAGCAGAACTCCTATTGATCCCATAAACCCCTGCATCTTGTCCTGGCTGCTCCATATGACATGACGGACTACTTCTAGCTAAAGGCTGTACCTTCGTAGACCACAAAGAAGCCTTTGCCCAGGATGTTACTGCTGCTCCGGAACTCGATCCACAGCCTGCTGTCCGAGGAGATTACTGGTTCAGGGATCTTGTCACCACAAAATCTACCTAGAAGGCAGGAAAGAGAGGATCAAGATCTCCTGGCTGATGGAGAGCATGGCACAGCAGGCACCTGTGGCTCCAGGAAGCAAAGAGTCTTTGGTTAAAGGAGCTGTGCTTATGTAAAACACCCTTTTAGTTCCACCACTTCTGGTTTTGCATGAGTTTAGTTTTTTTCCCACCATTAATACATATTCTCTTCAATTATTAAATTAATAAACAGTTCCTTCATCTGGGAGCATAATCCAGTAGTCACAGACTCAGACTCTTTTGGTCTGATAAATTCAGAAGGGCTCTTGTTTTGATCACATAATTGGGCAAATGAGCTGCAAGGGTGGGGAATTATCCCGTCCTTCTAGAGAAGACACAGGGAACGTCATTTCCATGGGCTAGGCCTCGGAAACTCATTGAGCTCTTCACGCCCAAGAGCAAATTGTCCAACCAAGGGCAGGATGTGGCCATGCCGATGGGAAAACATGCCTTATCTTGTCCTCTGCTCTCACTCCCATAGTAAATCCACCTCTTCCTGGTTAAGCCTCTGCAGTCATTCAATCTCTTTGAAGAGCTTTGTGATCAAAAGCTTTTTTGCTCCATGGTTCACCAGCTCCAAGCTCTCTGGCATGCACCAGCACTAGTAAATATGTGAATCCTGACAGCAAGGATGGATCCTGAAATAGAACAGCTGCAGATGGCATCTGCAACCCAAACAACCTCAACAACTTGAAGTTGGTGCTCCTCTACCTGCTCCAGCCAGATGCTTCTCAAGGAAACAGAGCAAGCACCAAGTATGCACTGAGAGGACACAGTGCAAACATGGTTTTTCACTTCAGCTGACATCAGCAGGGCTATATACTGAATTCAGCATGGCCCTTTGCACTTTGTCCAACTGAATCCCAGGTGGCAATCTGACAGAGGCAGAGAGTGTTTCCTCAGGTTGAATTCAGTCAGGACAGCAATGATAGGGATCCTGGCTTGTAAAACGAGGCAAAGGCTTCTTTGAACAACCTCCACTGGGTAAAAACCTGGTTAATGCCTTACCTGCAAGACAGTACCCTAGCTCCCAGTAGCAGGCTGCATTGGTGGATCCCTACACTGGATAAGGAGACAGACAGTTCATGGCCTGTTGACTGGCAGGCAGCGAAGGCTGTTGCTTTTCCTGCGTATGGCAGAGTAGCTGGCATGAATCCTGTGCATTAAAAGCCTAGGGGTCTCCTGCTTAGTCAGCTGCCCAAAGTCAGCTACTGCCACTTTTGGCTCCACTCTCACCCTTTGGCTGCCTCGGGAAGGCTACAACCTTCAAGGCTGCAAGAACTATGCCTCTGTGACAGGCCAGTCAGTGCAAACGAGACTGCATGGAAGGTGAGTTGCAAGCTTCATTTCTCTTCAACAGCAGTTTTGCCACCAACATTTTTTGCTTGTGGAGTTACCCATCCAAATATTAGCACAGACCCTGGCTTTATTTGACTATTCAGTTCTCTGCCCCCATGCCCCGAAAGCTGCCCAGCGCTGTTGGGGCAATGTGACAGCTCTGCAGCGTACTAATAGCACCTCCCACCTCCACTCCCAAAGGGGATGCTAACAAATAGCATCAGTGCTGCAAATCTCCTTCCTCTAGGGTCACTGAGCAATGGCCTCCTGGATTTAGACTTGGAGTTTAACAAGGGTGTCAAGGAGAGGAAACACAGATGAGGAAGGAGAATGAGAAAACTCCTCAGAGTGTGATAAAGAGCCCATTCATAAAAAGTCATACACCATTTAAAGGCTGGGTTTTCACACACTTCCCTGGGAAAATATGCAGCGCACATGTATTTTTTTTCGCTCTGAAAGAAGCCCGTGCTTTCACAATTCACACTAATCCCCCTTCCTGCCCCCTGCTGAATTGCGTCTTTCTGCCTCTTCCGAGCTAATTTCATGGGCTCAGCCCCTTGCGGGAGCCATGGCCACTCACACAGCATCTCCTTCCAGATGGAAACGCTCGTGAGTCCACCTGCAATAGGGGGACAGGGAGGTGCTTGGCTTCTGAAATACCTTTAAATTATGCAGCAGAAAAAATAAATAATGAGGAGCTAAGTTGAAGCTGCTGGAGCAACGTTACCTGAGGCATGTGCAGCAGAAAACAGCAACAGATGCTGCCAACCCCAAAACAGGCAGGAAGCAGTAAAACCAGCTGCCAACTCTGCACTGACAGGCAGGCCCACAGGAACCTCTGGAGAGCAGCATGGCTCCAGCCTCAGCACATCACCTGATACCAGGGCTGGGATGTCCAGTGGGGCCAAGGCGAGCTCCCAGACGTCCCTAAGCCCACTGACCCCATGCTGACTAGCCCAGTCCTGTGCTGCAGCACGGGGTATGACACCTCTAACATAGCTGGTGATGCTACACCAGGTGATTACTTCTTTCCTTTCAGGCAGAAGGGGAATTTTACAGACCAGGATACTGAGATTAGGAGAGAGGGTCAGGATCAGATGTGGTGGCAAAGCAGGTGGGACTCCTGACTGCCCATTCAGGGTGGCAGAAGATTTGCAGTTACGATAGCAGGAGGCAGAGGAACAGGGAGCACACAGAGGACCTGTGCTTCCTCGAGATCTTAGGGAACAAGAGCGGAGTAGAGCCCTTGCACAGTCTGATACCCTAGGCATAGTCTAGGAAGTTCCCTGCTAGAAATAGAGATGCCTGAAGTACAGACCACTGTGTATTTGTAAGTACAAATATTTCAGAAGTAACAGCAGGGCCAGGAGCTGTATGGCTGCTTCATTCTGACTGCCTGACCGTTCCACCCAGCTCTTAAGAAAAAGCAATAATAAAACTCCAGAGGCCACATTTTTAATCCCAGTCATGCCCCCAACTCATTTCCCTCTCTGCCTCAGTTCTCAAGCTGGAAAAGGAAGGAATAAAGTCTTTGCTACCAAAGGTCTTGACTCATGGATCATTTGGTGTGAAAACAGTACACCAACATCTCTGGATGGAAACATTGATGGCTGGCCAGTGCACTAGCTGGACATAGGCTCCTTCCAGGTAAAGGAAGGTTTGTATCTGGGTTTTTTTTCTCCAAGAACCTTCAAGAAGAACACTCCAAATGCAAGTAAAATGAAACAGCTACTCACCAAGTAATGGAGCCTTCCTCCAGTAGCCATCGCGCACCTCCACATAATCATACCAGCAAAGACGGCTTTTAAATAGGTCCATTGATGTGAAGTTTAACATAATCTGAAAGGAGAGAGTACACACTTGTCTTTGGGAAGGGAGCTACTTTAACGAGAAGACCTTACAGGGTAGGCGCTTCAGCTCTGCTACAGTGCTGCCTAAGTGAGGATGCAGGAAGAAGACAGTTGGACAGTTGGTTGGCTATTTTAAACAGCTTTCCTCAAAAATGAAAGGCTTCTCAAAGTATTTTAATGAAACCATGGAAGTACATGACAGTAGACAGCATCTTACCATTTGCTCTGTAATTCACAGTAACTGCTCCTCAGTTACTAAAATGTTACCAAAAAGAGCCCAATGTTTGTTTAGGGGGTTTGGGGGG